CAGATCTCTGTGAGTTCAAGGCTAGCCTGGTCTACATAGTGAGTTCCTGGATGGCTGGGGCTACAGGGAGACCCTGTCTCAAAAAAAAAAAAAAATGCTTATCATTAATCTAGGTGTTTTTCTGAGGCTAAGCTTCTTTCTAGAACAGGGTCTCTCCAATTTGCTCATTTATTTATATTTTTGATTTATTTTTATGTGTATGAGCATTTTGTCTGAGTTTATTATTTTTATTTTATGTGTGTGTGTGTATTGCCTACATGTAGGTAAGTGCACCCATGTCGTGCAATGCCTGCGGAGGACAGAAGAGGCTGTCGGATCCCCTGGAATTGGAGTTACAGTTGTTAGCTGCCATGTGGGTGCTGGGATTCAAACCCAGGTCTTCTGCAAGAATAGCCCAGTGTTCTTAACTGCTGAGCCATCTCTCCAGGCCCAGTCTGAGTTTATATAAGTGCACCATGTGCATGAAATGTCTGCAGGGGTCAGAAGAGGGCATCAGATCTCCTGGAACTGGAATTAGCTGGGAACCTGGGTCCTCTGCAAGGGCAACTAGTGTTCTTAACCGCTTAGCCATCTCTCTAGTCCCAGGTACTCATTTCTTAACATGTATTTGGGAAACCAGGTCAAATGTAGGTAACGAAGTAAAGTTTACACTGAGGAGTAACCACAGGTTTTGCAGAACCATTCACATATTCAAAACTATTATGACTCTGATAGGAAAATATGGTTTTTCCAAATTTATTTGACAATAAAATCATTTAAGAAATCCTGAGTTAATGATCCTTAGAACACAGTTTAGAAAATTTCATTTTTGAATCAGGATTATCACATGGAATTGGAGTATATTAGCTATTCCCAAGGTGGTTGGACGGGGCTTCTAGAAGCTGTCTGTTTTCAGAGTAAGGAAATGGCAGCTGCTTTGATGCAACCCAGCACTAGCTGTTCTAAGTATTCTAGCTAGCTTTACTCTATGGCCTTACTCTATGGCAGACTAGGAAGGTCTGTAATGTTGAGAGAAGCTTCTAGCCCAGGTGGCATTTGTCGGGAGGGGGGCAGGGTATTCTAGTATGGGCTCCATAATGGAAGCAGAGCCCCAGTATGGGCCCAGGATAAAGAAAGAGCACCAGATCAGGATGCTACAGGTTCCTGCTGCTGCAGGCCATGCCTGTACTTCCGCTTCTTTACTCCTGGCTATGCTGCTTACCATACTGGCCACTTTGTGAGTCAATCAAATAACAAAGTGGTCCAGGGCTTGGCTCCTGCTGAATAAACACTGGTTATTATAGTTGTTTTTAAAAACATATTTTAGGGGCTGGAGAGATGGCTCAGCAGTTAAGAACACTGGTTGTTCTTACAGAAGACCCAGGTTTGAATCCCAGCACCCACATGGCAGCTAACAACTGTCTATAACTCCAGTTCCAGGAGATCTGATGGCCTCCTGTCCTCCGCAGGCATTGCACAACATGGGTGCACTTACCCGCATGCAGGCCATACACTCATACACATAAAATAAAAATAATAAATAAAACATTCCCCCTTCCATCCCCCCCCCCCTCGCCGTACTATACTCCTAGTTTGAGCCCTGCGCCACTCCTAGTCTTGGGGCCCCAGACACCTGGGGAACCAATACTGCTTCCTGACCCTTCTCACCCAGAGCAACCCAGTCCCTTTCTAG